ACCTTGAGTCCAATGGTTTGAAAAATACCCGGATGGATCACAAGAATCGTGTTTCTAAGTCAAATCCTTCTGTGATTTTTTAGCATACATGGTCTGGCACAAGGAATTCAACATCTAAAGAAAATGTTTATTTTTTCAGAAACTCTTAATTCAGATGTATTACACAAATATTTTAAACAATTTTCAGTCATTTGCAGGCCCATTTTTTGTCCGACATTACAATTTAAGTCAATTTTAATGATATTTTATGTGTCTATGCAGCGAAAAAGAAATACCGAAAAGAAGCCAATCTAAAAGTTACCAAAACATACGCAATTTACATAAAAGTTGACGAAAAATGAGTTTTCCTTTCAAGTTTCGTCTCATTGCAGAATTTCAAATCACTATCTTGTCAAAGGAAATGGGAAAGAAATAATAAACATAAGCCAAACTAAAGGAAAAACCTTATAAAAAAAATTTCAAAATTTTCAAAAATGTTCGACGACGTAAAAATATATCTTATGAACATTGAATGAACATGGCAATATCAATTTATCAGCAAAGTAAGTCAAGTGATCAATAGTAAATAACAGTTACAGAGATTGACATCAATAATAATTGATTATTTCATTCAATTATCAATCTTATTCTAAACGCTATTTATTCTTTGGTTTCACAAACAAATATTAACCACAAACACTATTGGAATAGTTATAATAGGAAAGAACAAGTACAGTAAATCTACTGAACTTTGTCAAAGCAACTTGGATACTATTGAAATACAAAAGTATAGTCAAGAAATTATATTTTCGTACGTTCAAGTCATATGGAAAATAAAATCGAAGAAGATTGAATAAAATTTGAATCAAGGCAATCTTGTTCATTACTACTTAAATTACTTAAAAGAAAGTGGAGATAGGACCGGATGTGTACAATATCAGAGATCAGAACTTTGTATAACTTACAGATAAGCAGAATACATATAAAAAAAAAAGCATATAAGTACAGTAAATCTTCATAACTTTGTGTAATTTACTGATAACACAAGCGAAATATATATATAAAAAAACATATAAGTACAGAAAATCTTCATAACTTTGTGTAATTTACTGATAACACAAGCGAAATATATGTATAAAAAACAGTAAATCTTCAGAACTTTGTGTACCTTACTGATAACACTAAGAAGCTATGTAAAATCATTAATATAAGTACAGTAAATCAACAGAGCTTTGTATTACTTTCTGATAACACTAACAGAATACATATAAAAAAATATAAGTACAGTAAACCTCCAGAACTTTGTAATGCTTACTGATAACACTAACAGAATACCTATGAATTGTAAGTACAGTTAATCTACATAATTTACTGATGACACTAAGAAGAAGAATCTACAGAACTATTGAAATAAATTTACCACTGGTTTTAATAGTTTACTCGAGGCCTTAAACAAATATGGTTTCCCATCTTCATTTTTGGTCAATATTTTTTCCATGACCACAGTAGGTGTAACATCGTACGCAGCCCTCAAGGGGGCTAAGAACGGATGAACAAGATTTGGGTGCACTTCAGCATATGTGCTGCAAAAAAATCCATTTGCAATGATACGGCCTGATTTGGTGAAAACGTTGAAGATTCCTTCTTGCTCTACCTCTTCTATTTCCATGACTGACTCCTCCACTCTTATTTTCTTCTCACCGTCTATAATCAGGATAAAAACAATGTCCCCTTTCTGAAAAAAAAAATAAAAACCTTATAAATACTGGAACAGTGACCAAATTTCATGGCGCTCGATGGTCGCCTTTAAAATTTTAATAACTTTTTAGGTTACCATTATAAATTTATATATAAATTTTCTCCATTGTAATCTAACAAGTTTTTTTCCACAGTCGCGTTCAAATCACTTTATTATTAACAAATAAAGAGTGGAATGCAGAGTCAGTTTTGGTATCTCATAGTGTGTCATTCTCATAGAATAGAACTTTTCTTCATTTTCACTGGTACTTATATAAAATGTAATTTTAGACAAACAAGACATAGAACTTTCCTTCTGAAAAATGCTACGGATGCAACATATATTGAACTCTTTCAGACGGTTAATAATAGAAAGATATCCTTAAAGTATGTAAATCAATTTACCTGAAGATCTTTAGCTTTCTTATATTCTTGCTTGTCGCCATTTTTAACAAATACAAAATGTCGATGACTTATTACCAACCGTTTGCTTTCGGTATCGATTTGTAGATACGTCGCTCTGGAATTCTTTACGTGATGGGTAATACACCAGACTTCGGAATAAAAGATTTTACCATTATCGTCAAATGAAAGAGCTTCGTCTCCTTCCACTAATTCATCTAGATAGGTCTTACCATTTTTACTAGTTATAACCGTGTTGGATGCAAAGCAATTATCAGACTGTAAAAAAAACAAACAATTTATTCATTCTGTTACCTAATTATGTTTTCAAGATGGGTTTCCTTATTTTTAGTGTCAAATTTAGCAAACTATTTGATTAATTGGTGTTTCTAATGAATTATCACGTATTCTTAATCATAATATTATGTTCTTGTGGCATAATATAAAGAGTTTAACCCAACATAAATGTCTGGATAAACAAAAAAAGACTTTTTGACATTTCTTGATCGGTCACTCATTGGAATTCTGCTGGTAATTCTCCTCTTATTTAGCTTATAATGAATTAATTATAGACATGTGAGACAAACTGGTAAGTCATTAGAACACCTTTGCTTGCTATTCATATAAGTATTAGCACTTTCATTTTTCATGAATAAAGAGAAGGGAAACCATCTTTAAAGCAGAGATTTTCAACCAGGGGTTTATGAATTTTGGGGGATAAAAAGGTGCTTTGTACTCTCGAATAAATTTTTTGTCCTTCAGTTACGCTATATTATCCGAAATGAAAAAGATTGCAGGACAACCCTATATGTGAAGATATAGGGGAAGGGGGTAATGCAATCGATCAAGGGTCCTTAAAGTCGTAATTGAAAGAAGAGAGTCGAAACATCTGCTTTAAAGAGATAGATTCGCCATACGCTTGACCAATCGAACTTTAGTCTCAGCATTTATTTTCGCTAAGTTAACAGCTCTCCGTCTAAATTTGAGCTTTCGTAGTCCAGACTTATCCGCGTTTGAAAAAGTTAAAATGACGACGCTGTAGAATAGTTGTAAAAACGTCAGATCATGACATAGGGGTATTAATCATTAATAGAACATTTTTTCATTCAATCAGCGTTGGTTAAATTTTCTATAAAGGGGTTCAAGTAATGCACATGGCATTTTGCCAGCAAGCTTCTAGGTTCTAGGCTCTAAATAAGTTAGATCATATTAAGTGATCTTTTAGTAGTTAAGAAGACTTAAATTTGACTTCATATTTTTTTAACATTAATGGATCATAATTCACAACTCAATCCATCCAGAGCTAAAGAATTATGCAAAGAAATGCTAATATCAAGAAGTAACATAAATGAAAAGTGAAAGTATCTTCAGTATCAGTAACTAAAATATGTATTAAAGGTCATGGTTTGCCATTTGGAATATGATATGTAAATAGTCTTCAGAACTACCAGAACTGCATGAAATTTAACTTTCCTTTTTCTAAATATGTCTTTTTTTTTTATTGAAGGCGGCATAGCAAGAAAGCACTAGTCGTCATTTTAACTTTATAACGCGGATAATTCTCAACACACATGGATTTTAAGGCTCAAATTTAGGCGATGAGTGTTGTGAACATTAATTACTGAAGAGCTTAACAAAAAACAAAAATCTAATCAATATTTACAAATTATACCAAGTTTTTCGTCGAAATGCTCATAATCAATAGCATTAACCAGATAACCCAATTTTATCAAAATCACGTTACTTTAAAGTCACTTAGTTTGAAATAGCTAAGGGCAATAACTCACAAACTCAAAATATCATCTAATTCAAACCTTATTAACATACACATTCGTTTTCAAATTCATCAAAATTGGATAAGCACTGTAGTCACTGGCCTTAGTCCAAAAAAAAGGGCAGTATGCAAAATTTCCATTGTCAAAAGCGTCGTAAATTAAAATAGTACAGTTTTTTTTAGCACCTACCAAAAAGTGTAACGAACTTTACATAGTGTTTTTTAATTATTTTTGGCGTTAAAAAATCAACGGCTGGATTTCTTAGTTAAAACTTTCAGATACGTTATGGGACACATATCTCTGGACTATGGTTTTCATAAATTTGAATAAAAAATATTTCAACTACAAAAAAATAATGTCGGCTGGTGAATTGTCAAAAACAGTAAGCTGCGAAATATGAGGGTTTGCTGCATCTCGGACTGTAAACTAGTGTCGAACTTTTACTTTCGTTTTGTTAGACCCTGTGACGTAGAATTTTTTGTTGCGCGCGCATCCTTTTCTGGCGGCCGAAAGATTGAATTTCTTGAGAACAATTTGGTAAAACCACAGACGTGGCATAAAATGTAGGGGGATAATGATGGTATGACTGAACTAAAAAAAATGTCCTTCTTTCCGAATATTTTGGAATTTGGTGGAAAACCCCACCTGCGGCGGTGCGAAAAAATCCCCAACCGACAACAGTCAAAATAGCTATCTGGAGGCTGGAAAAGGGCCAGGAAGTTTCTATAAAATACATGCATACAAAGTTCATTGGATAAAAACTGTTGATATATATTTTGAACAGTTGTCGGCTAGAGTAGAGACAGAAAAACTAGGTTATGTGGGAATTTTTTTCGGTTCTCCGATGGTGCGGAATTTTCAAACATATTTATTTAACCTCAAAACTTAGATTTATATTCGGAAAGATATTTTGCAGCTAAGCCATACCATCATTAACTACCCTAACTATTTATCTCACATCTGTGGTTCCATCGACGTTTATTTTAAAAGAAACTAATCTCACGATCTGCCCACGGAGTTTTATGATTTTTCAAAAAAAAATAAAAATCGTTTTACCCACAATTGTTAAATTAATTGAAATTGATTAAAGAAAATTTTCAACTTACATTGTCTGGCATCTTGAACGAATAACGTATACTTCTCTATTATCAAAAATTCAATCGCGCACTGTCTTATCAAATTCGATCCAAGGGTATTTATATGCAAAAAGTGGAAATTCTAAGAAAACGCCACGTCACACCTGCTTTTGTTATTCAAATGAGCAGTTTAACATGCCCAATCCAGAATTCCAGAATGTTCTCAAGGCTGAAATGAAGTAACACTTATCCCTTTTTCCAGTAAAAATGATGTTGGTGATTTACAATTCGATGTTTCGATAGTTACATACATATCACGAACAATGTGTACTTTTTGTTTCTTTTGGGACAGGGCGGCATATTGCATTAACCACGAATTCTGTGAAATAAGGAATCAGTAACAGTACTGTTCTAGTGCTGCAGCCACGAAAGTCTGCTTCGAACGCATTGCATCAAAAACACCATTGCAAAACCTTTCTATTTGGGGTCGGCGAAATATTTGACATAATGCATGCATATGCAAACTTGTCCTCATTTGCCCAGACTTGTACTTGGCAATTTTCTCCAAATTTAACAAAGGACCTTTGTAAGTAGTTTTTTTATGATAAAAAATACTTTACCCAAATATACTCAAGTTACGTCAGGATCTGTGAATACGAATAGGCCTGTCGACCCTCATAAAATCGCAATGGAAATTTCCAGAATAAATTATAGGTATTAGTACAGCATCTTAGATCAATACAGAAAAGACTTCTGTCACAATTAACATTCATGTTTCTGACTGTATACTGATTGGATACCAACTGTGAAGACGTGTTTGAATAATGGCTAATGAAATGTAGAAGAGATTTTCTTCTGACAGTGAGCTGTGTCTGGGCGTCAGGAATACACATTAACGTCATCTGTAACCAATCGAATAACGCCACGAAAATTCACCTGTGCAGAAAGTTTATACGAACAACCAGCATTTTTACCTATACATTGAAAAAATGTGTTCAAAAAGCGTCTTGAAGAGAGAGTATTGTATTGGAATGCATACGTATGCGTGTGGATAATCTGGTTTTCCCAGAAATGCACATCTCAACGCAATTCGTGGAAAATTTGACGTGTGTCTGTGACTCAGTGTTCTAGATTTTTCCAGATATCAGGTTCTAACTACTTCGACTTGGACTAGCTCAAAGCAGTTTTAGACTTGGAACGTGCAACATGCCTAATAATGTAAGTAGATGTAGAGCTCGCCATTTTTTCTTCTATATAAATTATGATAAACATTCAACTAATCTACTAACGTTAACATGTTTAACTATAGGCTGTTTGGCATATACGTTTAGTTTGTTTATTTAGTCCAAAAACTGGCCAAAAATGTCTGTTTTCTGGTTATTTGGCTGTTCATGAACACAGGAAACACTTGTAATAGAAAGTTATATCCATCAAATAAGGTTTTAGAGAGAATAACAGTATTGTCTGAGCAAAGCAAAAAGCTTTTTGAAGTGTTTCTATATGTTTTAAGATAATTGGAATATTAGCCCCAAAATAATATTGTTACTCTAAGAAAATCTTCTCGTTGATAAGATTATAAAATGTTTTGTAAGTTTGCATTGAAAAGAAACATATTTTTCTCCTTGAAATTTTAACCCAAAAAATAATAACAAAAAAACAGACAATTTAAAGGATAGATCCTTTTCATTCATTCTTGTACAACCTTTTACCTAGAACTAATACATTAAATATTGATGAAATACAATTATTATTTTCTAATTCATTTCATAATTTAATGAAAGGCTTCTTTCAAATTCATTATTTTATTTCATTATTATCATTCAAGTTCCAAAAACACACCAATGATTGTTCAAAGGAATTCTACTATCAAATGTTGACATGTTCAATAGATGATGTTAAACGAAAGTTTTACTAATTTCACATGTTCAATAAAAGATTTTTCTAATTTTTACATGTTCAATAAAAGATTTCTAATTTTCACATGTTCACTAAAAGATTTACTAATTTTCACATGTTCAATAAAATATTTTCTAATTTTCATTTGTCCAAATTTGGCTGAAAAATTTTCTTCTGGAAAAGCAAATTTTGAAGATATCATATGTACTCATGTTTATCATTTTTTTCAACTCCAAAGACATTCTTAGAATGACAGTACTTTTTGAGCAATTCTCTTAAAAAATAATTAAATAATTTAAAAAAAAAAACTTTTTACTTTGCTCAGACGATAAACTATACAGGATATGATTACATTTTGACTGATTTTCTTGGTATATAACTTATTAAAGGGACATTCCGCTTTTTTTTGTAAGTCGAAATTTTTTTTTGCTCAAACTTGTGAAACTATAGACCAAAATCTATAGAAATGTATCCCATAACGTATCTGAAAGTTTCATCTGAAAAAATCCATCCGTTAATTTTCTAACGCCAAAACTTTACCTTAAAGGTTACGTAACCTTTTAACGTTCGTTAAGTATTTTTTGGAAGCTGTTATACAACTACTGCTTTGTGTTAAATAAGCTCCTACTTGTAGAGAAATATGCTTCGTACATTTTCGACAGATTTCAACCAAATATAACGAAACATTATAAAGCCAATCACCGAAACTAGGTTAAACTGCTTAATTAACAATTAGAACTCTTGGTTTTTAATTAACCCTTTTAAAACAAATTCAGTTTGATCAAGTAAATACATAAATATAAATAGCATACTAATTATTTCCGGGTATAATTGTTTGACAGTTTTTATAATGAAAATGCTTTACAAAAAAGCGGAATGCCCCTTTAAAAAGTAGCTCGAGTTTCATTTTTTCTTCTGAATTGTAAATACTTAGAAAATGAGTCACTTGGTATTTCCAAATTTCCAATTTAGTGATTTTTTTTATTGTTCACAGAATTGAATAAATCTGTAACAAAGGGAGACGTGATGTTTTAATAAGTCTTGATAATTGAAGCTAATTTTACCCTTCACCATTAACGCAATCGGGTACAAAAAAATAGGACGTAAAACTCCATTGTCTTATCAAGATTAGATACCTATATGCAAATATTCTTCTGATTTAATATTCTTTTGACAACATTTTAAAAGTACAATTAAGTCATTTTTTCAAAGAACTCCCTACACATTAGTTATGTACCTTTTTATGTTTAAAAACTCTTGACAGCATTTATTAGTTAAGTAAGTCATTTGGTTAAAGAACTCTGATTATAACCGTTTCTACTAAAAGAACTCGTTGACAAGATTAGTTACGTATATTTTCTACAAAAAGAATTAATTGATAAGATTAGCTACGTAAATTTTCTACAAAAAGAAATTGTTGACAAGATTAGTTACGTATATTTTCTACAAAAAGAAATTGTTGACAAGATTAGTTACGTATATTTTCTACAAAAAGAACTAATTGACAAGATTAGTTACGTATATTTTCTACAAAAAGAAATTGTTGACAAGATTAGTTACATATATTTTCTACAAATATAACATGTTTACAAGTTTAGTTACGTATATTTTCTACAAAAAGAACTAATTGACGAGATTAGCTACGTATATTTTCTACAAAAAGAAATTGTTGACAACATTAGTTTACTATATTTTCTACAAAAAGAACTAATTGACAAGATTAGTTACGTATATTTTCTACAAAAAAAACTAATTTACAAGATTAGTCACGTATATTTTCTACAAAAAGAAATTGTTGACAAGATTAGTTTACTATATTTTCTACAAAAAGAACTAATTGACAAGATTAGTTACATATTTTCTACAAATATAACATGTTGACAAGTTTAGTTACGTATATTTTCTACAAAAAGAACTAATTGACGAGATTAGCTACGTATATTTTCTACAAAAAGAAATTGTTGACAACATTAGTTTACTATATTTTCTACAAAAAGAACTAATTGACAAGATTAGTTACGTATATTTTCTACAAAAAAAAAACTAATTTACAAGATTTATCACATATATTTTCTACAAAAAGAAACTGTTGACAAGATTAGTTTACTATATTTTCTACAAAAAGAACTAATTGACAAGATTAGTTACGTATATTTACTACAAAAAAAACTAATTTACAAGATTAGTCAAGTATATTTTCTACAAAAAGAACTAATTGACGAGATTAGCTACGTATATTTTCTACAAAAGAAATTGTTTACAAGATTAGTTACGTATATTTTCTACAAAAAGAAATTGTTTACAAGATTAGTTACGTATATTTTCTACAAAAAGAAATTGTTTACAAGATTAGTTACGTATATTTTCTACAAAATGAAATTGTTGACAAGATTAGTTACGAATATTTTCTACAAAAAGAAATTGTTGACAAGATTAGTTTACTATATTTTCTACAAAAAGAACTAATTGACAAGATTAGTTACGTATATTTTCTACAAAAAAAACTAATTGACAAGATTAGTTACGTATATTTTCTACAAAAAGAAATTGTTGACAAGATTAGTTACATATATTTTCTACAAATATAACATGTTGACAAGTTTAGTTACGCATAACTTCTACAAAAATAACTCGTTGACAAGATTAGATACATATATTTTTCACAAAAAGATCTAATTGACAAGATAAGTTACGTATATTTTCTACAAAAAGAAATTGTTGACAACATTAGTTTACTATATTTTCTACAAAAAGAACTAATTGACAAGATTAGTTACGTATATTTTCTACAAAAAAAAACTAATTTACAAGATTAGTCACGTATATTTTCTACAAAAAGAAATTGTTGACAAGATTAGTTACGTATATTTTCTACAAAAAGAACTTGTTGACAAGATTAGTTACGTATATTTTCTACAAAAGGAACTAATGGACAAGATTAGTTACGTAAATTTTCTACAAAAAGAAATTGTTGACAAAATTAGTTACGTATATTTTCTACAAAAAGAACTCGTTGACAAAATTAGTTACGTATATTTTCTACACAAAGAACTCGTTGACAAGATTATTTACGTATATTTTCTACAAAAAGAACTCGGTGACAAGATAAGTTATGTATATTTTCTACAAAAAGAACTCGGTGACAAGATTAGTTATGTATATTTTCTACAAAAAGAACTTGGATACAAGATTAGTTACGTATATTTTCTACAAAAAGAACTCATTGAGAAGATTAGTTACGTATATTTTCTACAAAAAGAACTCGTTGAGAAGATTAGTCACGTATATTTTCTACAAAAAGAACTAATTGACGAGATTAGCTACGTATATTTTCTACAAAAAGAAATTGTTTACAAGATTAGTTACGTATATCTTCTACAAATATAACTTGTTGACAATATTAGTTACGTATATCTTCTACAAAAAGAACTTGTTGACATGATTAGTTAAGTATGTTTTCTACAAAAAGAACTAATTGACAAGATTAGTTACGTAAATTTTCTACAAAAAGAAATTGTTGACAAAATTAGTTACGTATATTTTCTACAAAAAGAACTCGTTGACAAAATTAGTTACGTATATTTTCTACACAAAGAACTCGCTGAGAATATTAGTTACGTATATTTACCACAAAAAGAAATTGTTGACAATTTCAGTGACGTAGATTCCTACAAAAATTGATTTACAAGATTAGTCAGGCAAATCTTCTAAAAAAAATCATTGATAAATTAGTTACGTAAATTTTTAACGAAATAACTCGGTAACAAGATTAGTTACACTCATTTTCTTCATAATTCTGCACTGAGACTTTTAAGGCTGTAATATAGATTTATTCAAATATACGAATTGATTCGGTTCATACTCCTAATTCAACGTATCGTATTGCAAGATTAATTCAAAATGATTTGCTTTGACAAGACAAGTTGACGAAATCTGTTGTTAAAACTATTGTCCTATTGTCAAGACTAGTTTTTAACATAATCGGCTAAAAACTTCGTCTTAAAGACCTTCGTGACAAGATTGGTTAGGCCTAGTGCGTTGTGGTTGGGTTTCAAGACCACGTTTCTCAATATCGTTGATCGTTATTAACTTTACGTGCAAGTTATGTCGAACGAATTATTTAGAAACGGGGGTCGAGCAGGGACGGTGTAGGAACCACTTTTGTAATAACGACCAGTTTTGTAATAACATGCGCCCATTTTTGTAATAAAATTAGGTCACCACTTTTGTAATAAGCTCGCCAGCTTTTGTAATACTATCAAGCTTCCCCACTTTTGTAACAGCCAAGTTTATTACAAAAGTGGGTAACCGATAGTAGTTTATTACAAAAGTAGTCAGGCTTCGTTTGCTTGATGTATTTTCCACTCTATCGGGAATTCCGCATCACAACCGTTACCCACCTATGCGAACCTTAAAAGGACAGCTCCACGACTCGTCTTTCTCGAGAATCTGTCATGTATAGAAAAGACAATTGTTTTGGTACTTCTGAATACCCAAATCAAACCCGTAAATGGCAAATCATGACCCTTAAGCGTGATGATGGCATTTTGCCAGGTCGTGTTGACAAGTTTATATAATTTGAAAGAATATTTCAAAAAATAGATAAAATTTGTAATATACATTTTGCCCCCTGTTTTAGAATCTATTTGACTTCCATAGCATTTTCTCAAGTCAAACTATAACGAATATCGACTCGTTCCTTGACTGCAATAGTCACCTTTCATGTATGTATCACGGAATGCAGCGATATAATTGGCTTGTTAAGAGGCAGAGATAGCCAATCAGAGCTCTCGACAGACAAACTGTAAACAATTTGCTCATTATCAGAAACTTAAAATTCCATTGCATATCATGTGGAATATATTTACTTTAAAGGTATACTATCTCTTACGATGACCATAAGATTATAATTTCTAAACTTGGTCAAAATGAGTCTTTGTTCATCAGTGGACCTACCAGGTGTCATTACTATACAACAGAATCCCTCTATAATCCAATTAATCCATAAAACTAAGTGATAATTCATTCAAGTAAATTTGAAACATTCTTCGAAGCGAGATTTCATAATTATTTAGTTTAATGCATATATCAGCTTGTACAGTGCTTGTACCTGATGAATTTATACACTCGTTGACCAAGTTTGAGACTTTAAATTTTATTTCCTTTCTAAGAGGCAATATTCCTTTATAAATTCCCATCAGATGGTTTTCTTTACAAGAAAAAACGTTTTATGCAATTTCACACGCTATACCAAAAGTGTTGATAGAAAAAAACGGCATGAACTAAATGATTATATATCTTAATGGTTATAAAACGAAATCATATAATATGCCAGTAGAGGTTCTAAAATTCCTACACATAGGTCGTGGGATATATTCCTCCACTAATGAAGTTTTCTTACATTGTATAGAGCTTCTATTGACACTGACTTCGCGTATGAATTTATGCCAGAATTTTATGAAATTTTATGAAGGTTTAAATCGTCAATATCTTACACAAGTAAGATTTATAGTAAGGTTTTGTACACATTGGCGACCGCCCTTAATAAATTGAAAATTTATCAGGTAAATGAGCGTTCTTGCTAGGCAACCACATGTTAGCTGAAAATTTGGTTTGATCATTTACATTTTTGAGATTTTGGACATGTTCGATTTTCCGATGAACGGTTTTTGTGTTATTGTCCCTTGAAAATTGTTCGCGAGCATAAAAAATTACAGTTTTCTTCTGATTATTATAATGAAATTTTGTGTTATCATTTCTATTGCTGAGATTTTGGACAAGTTAGAATTTGACGATTTCACGATGAACGGTTTTTGAGTTATTTCTCTTAATTTATTAAAAACGCATTTGTGTCTAATAAACACTACAGCTATTATCAAGTAAAATCATATTTCACACCACAACTGACGATATTTGCAATTTCTCTGTATGAGAATTTTCAATCTATTTGAAACTTTGTGTGATCATTGAATTCATTTGTCATCTGTTAAAATATTAAAATCTCTAAATTCAACCTTCTATAACTTTTTCCAGAAATCTCGTTGAAAACATTCCAATATATCACATGAAAGCCTGTCCAATGCTTAGTTTCTACACAAAAAATGTTTTAGTGGACTCGATCCTGATAAAGTCTTTTGTAAGACTTAAACTTGACTAATTAGACACTTTGATTTGCTCTTCGACAGCTTTTGATGAAGAAACTTACTTTCACGTCCGCAAACGTCATTGGCTACTCGTTGGTTTCACGATGTCCCATCTTCAAATTGCGAGAATATTTCTGTCTTTTATCCAATTCAAATGATAACTTTTTTTTAATTGCAGCCGCGTAAGTGTTTCCCAAAAAACACTGTTGTTACGACCAAAAACAACAAGACATATTTGGACGAGTTGGAGGATGGTGATTACGTCCTTGCTTGGGATGAAGACAAACTGGACTTTACCAGAGTATGGTGTAAAACTCACCATATTGAAGATGTAAGATCCCAGTATCTTCAAATTGACACAGAGACAAAGAGACTGGAAATAAGTCATCGTCACTTTGTGCTCTTTAAAGATGGAGATAAAAAGGACTTCAAGAAAGCCGAAGACGTAAAGGTATGTGTAATTATATTCCCATCTGTTTATAAAAGTGCATTTAAATAACATAATAGATCATCGTAATTAATCACAAGAAAAATAGATTGCAGTAATATGGTCACAAGGTAGACTGATCACAGTAATGTGGTCACAGGGGACCTGCAAAATAGTTCACAGTAATATGGTCACATGGAAAATAGTTCACAGTAATATGGTCACATGGAAAATAGTTCACAGTAATATGGTCACAAGAAAAATAGACATAGTAACATGCTCACAGGGAAAATAGTTCATAGAAATATGGTCACAGGGAAAATAGTTCACAGTAATATGGTCACAAGAAAAATAGATCACAGTAATATGGTCACAAGGTAAACTGATGACAGTAGTATGGTCACAGGGAAAATAGTTCACAGTACTATGGTAACTGGGAAAATAGTTCACAGTAATATGGTCACAGGGAAAATAGTTAAAAGTAATATTGTCACAAGGTAACCTGAACACAGTAGTATGGTCACAGGGAAAATAGATCACAGTAATATGGTCACAGGGAAAATAGTTCACAGTAAAATGGTCACAAGGAAAATAGTTCACAGTAATATGGTCATAGGGAAAATAGTTCCCAGTAATATGGTGACAGGGAAAATAGTTCACAGTAATGTGGTCACAAGGTAGACTGATCACAGTAATGTGGTCACAAGGAAAATAGTTCATAGTAATATGGTCATATGGAAAATAGATCACAGTAATATGGTCACAAGGTAAACCGATCACAGTATGGTCACAGGTAAAATAGTTCACAGTAATAGGGCCACAAGAAAATAGATCACAGTAATATGGCCACAAGAAAATAGATCACAGTAACATGGTCACAGGGAAAATAGATCACAGTTATATGGTCACAAGGCAAACTGATGATAGTAATGTGGTCACAGGGAAAATAGTTCACAGTAATATGGTCACAGGGAAAATAGATCATAGTAATATGGTCACAAGAAAAATAGATCACAGTAATATGGTCACAGGGAAAATAGTTCACAGTAATATGGTCACGGGGAAAATAGTTCACAGTAACATGGTCACAGGGAAAATAGTTAACAGTGATATGGTCACAAGAAAAATAGATCACAGTAATATGGTCACGAGGTAAACTGATCAAGGTAGTATGGTCACAGAGAAAACGGATCACAGTAATATGGTCACAGGGAAAACGGATCACAGTAATATGGTCACAGGGAAAACAGATCACAGTAATATGGTCACAGGGAAAATAGTTCACAGTAACATGGTCACAGGGAAAATAGTTAACAGTGATATGGTCACAAGAAAAATAGATCACAGTAATATGGTCACGAGATAAACTGATCACAGTAGTATGGTCACAGGAAAATAGATCACAGTAATATGGCCACAGGGAAAATAGTTCACAGTAATATGGTCACAGGAAAAAAGTTCACAGTAATATGGTCACAAGAAAAATAGATCACAGTAATATGGTCACCAGGAAAATAGATCACAGTAATATGGTCACAGGAAAAATAGATCAAAATAACATGGTCACAGGGAAAATAGATCACAGTAATATTGTCACAGGGAAAATAGATCATAGTAATATGGTAACAAGAAAAATAGATCACAGTAATATGGTCACAGGAAAAATAGATCACAGTAATATGGTCACAAGGTATATTTATCTAAGTAATTGGGTCACAGGGAAAATATATCACAGTAATATGGTGACAGGGAAAACAGATCACAGTAATATGGTGACAGGGAAAATAGATCACAGTAATATGGTGACAGGGAAAATAGATCACCGTAATATGGTCACAAGAAAGATAGATCACAGTAATAGGGTCACAGGGAAAGTAGTTGACAGTAATAAGGTCACAAGAAAAATAGATCACAGTAATATGGTCATGGGGATAATAGTTCACAGTAATATGGTCACAAGAAAAATAGATCACAGTAATATGGTCACAGGGAAATTAGATCACAGCAATATGGTCACAGGGAAAATAGATCACAGTAATATGGTCACAAGGAAAATAGATCACAGTGATATGGTCACAGGGAAAATAGATCACAGTAATATTGTCACAGGGAAAATACATCACTGTAACATGGTAACAAAAAAAAAATAGATCACAGTAATATGGTCACAAGAAAAATAGATCACAGTAATATGGTCACAGGGAAAATAGATCACAGCAATATGGTCACAGGGAAAATAGATCACAGTAATATGGTCACGAGAAAAATAGATCATAGTAACATGGTAACAAGAAAAATAGATCACAGCAATATGGTCACAAGGTATATTTATCTAAGTAATAGGGTCACAGGGAAAATATATCACAGTTATATTGTGACAGGGAAAACATATCACAGTAATATGGTGACAGGGAAAATAGATCACAGTAATATGGTCACAGGGAAAATAGATCATAGTAATATGGTCACAAGAAAAATAGATCATAGTAACATGGTAACAAGAAAAATAGATCACAGTAATATGGTCACAAGGTATATTTATCTAAGTAATAGGGTCACAGGGAAAATATATCACAGCAATATGGTGACAGGGAAAATAGATCACAGTAATATGGTCACAGGGAAAATAGATCATAGTAATATGGTCACAAAAAAATAGATCAATATACCTTGTGACCGTATTACTTTGAAAATTAACATAATTACTAGGCTATAATATTTGACAGCTTTTCCTTTTGACTAATTTGCTGGTGATAATTTCCCTAGTGACCAATATACACGTGCCCAATTTACCCAGTGACCCATTTGTATGTGACAAATTTACCTGATGACCAATTTGCATGTACTTGTACGTTGACCTAGTATACCTGAATTACGATCTGTTATGTACATTTATTGGTTTGAATAGTCGTCTTCAAAACTTGGTATCCTTATGTATAGTTTTCCTTTTTCAGATCGGAGATGTGTTGTATGTTTTGGATGTTGATCAGCTGAAAGTGAATGAAGAGGAGGTGAAGGCTATAGAAGAAGTGGAATGTGAAGGGGTCTACAATGTATTTACTGATTCCGGCCGCATTATTGCTAACGGAATATTCTGCAGTGTATATTCGGAAGTTCATCCAAATCTTGTACACCCAATGTTGGCGCCATTGAGAGCAGCTCATTCTATCATGCCTACTGTTGTAATGAAAAAAGTAATGGCTCCCAATTCAGAAGGCCAACCCCATGTTATTAAGTACGGGGGCGACATTTTGAAGCCTGTTGCTAAATTATTGTAGATGCCAAGCTGTGCTGCTGCTGATTGTAAAGGCCAAACAATTTAATTTTTTTTTTCGCTTTTATTGTGTTTAGTTACTTTACTTTCTGTTCGACTTCACAATATAACTTTAATTTCGTTCTAAGATTTGCTTTACCAGCTGGTAGAGGCTATATTTTCAGCCACGCATATTCCTGTTCAAAATTTAACAAGCAATTCTGTGGGATTTAGAAGGTCTACAAACTATATACGGACACAATGTCCTTCTGTTTTTGTTTTCTAATGTAACAATAAATCTGCACAATACCGGACACCATCTTCACAATGTCAAGATAATAGTTCATACTTATATCTTAACTGCAATAACCACTATTCTTGTATCACGGAACGCATCGATTTGATTGGATTGTACGCCAGTGAATACAGCCAGAGCCTCAATAGAAAAGTTGTAAACATTATGGCTTTGTGCTCGTATGCTTCTGATTGGCGGTATTTGGTAGAATGCAATCCAATCAAATCGCTACATTTACATTTCTATGATACCAAAAAAGTGACTATTGAAGTCAAGGTATAAGTAAGTAGTTCGTAATAGCTTTACTTTGTAAAGTAATTATTGTTCTGTTCCCTTTCATAAAATTGTCAATTATAAGTCAAGTCTTTCGATTTGAAAGCGTGGCAACTCTATTGATCATTATTAATTTGTTATCAATTGGATCAAAGTCATGAAAAAAACCAATGAACTTTCTCAAGTCGTAGACATTTCATTAATTGTTTGTGTATTTTGATGTATTGGCTTTTTGTGTTAGATATAATGGGACCAAAGTATTATTCATTTTGTAACAAAACATCAAAGTATTTATTGCTTAATCATAACATTATCCATAAAGTTAGAGTGGTAAATCAGTTATTTTTATGTGAATTTGAAAATCATCATCAAAGCAATAGTAATTTTTCTTTAGATATCTGACACAAAACTTTCCAATAATAAGACTAATTTCAAATAGATAATATATGCAATAAAAAATACCTAATAAACAATATTTGCTATGTGGACTCTCTGAAAGAGATGTTGAGTTGATAAACCCAGTTGCAGTTGTATTAAGTGTACCAGAAGAGTGAGTATGCTCTGCCACAGCGCTTAATTTTATTGTATTGTATTATTTGCATCACTGCTAAATCGTTCTAAGACTGCCAGTGCCAAATACTTAAAAAATAACCAAAAACAATTTTTCTTTGCCTAGTATGTACATGTACTAAAATTTACAACGTTCTTATTTCGCACTCGACGTCTGTGTTTCTTGTTATTTTGAAAACAGATTATTAACTGACGACCTCAAATACATCCAATAGTATACAGGATCACAGACTTTGAATGCGAAATTCAAAACAAATATAAGCTTTAAGTTCGCCCGTTATACAACCTACAAAGATGCCCAATGTGTACCGAATTCCACAAAAGGCAACTTTTAGAATGTTTGTCACTCATGAAGCATTTGTCTCTGTATCCCACGTATGCCGTGTATGAAAGGATTGTCCTTCAACCCCACCAATGCCATGTAAGAAAAATTTGTTCCCCTCAATCTCACGTGTGTCATGTATGAAGCATTTGTCCCTCATCCCCCATGTGTGAAGCATTTGTCCCTCAACCCCATGTCTGTCACTCAGAAAGCAGTTTTCCGTGTAGTCCACGTGTATCAGGTATTTTGCATAGCATGTCCTTCAACCCGACGATTGTCCTATAGGAAGTCCCTCAACTCCGCTATGTTATGTACGAGGCATTTGCAGGTCAGCCGTACGTGTATCATGTATTAAGCATTTGTCCATATTGTATCCCACGCATGTCGTGTATGAAACGCGTTTGATACACATGAAGCAGTTGTCCCTGTACCCCATATCTGTCACTTATGAAGCATTTATTCCTCAACCCCATGTCTTTCACTAATGATGCAGGTGACCCTGTGTGTCATGTATTTTGTAAAATAATGTCCCTCAACTCCACATATGTTATTGTGAAGCATTTGTTGCTCAACGCTACGTATATTCTGTGAAGTATTTGTCGCACAACTATTCGTATATCACGTCGTTAGGTATTTGTCGCTCAACCATACGTATATCGTGAGGCGTTGGTCTCTCAGCCCTACGTATATCAAGTGAGATATTTGTCGCTAATGCGTATGTCATGTGTGAGGCATTGACTCTCAATCCCACATATGCCATGTATGAAGCATATGTCGCGCAACCTCACGTATAGTATGTATGAAGTATTTGCCTTAAAAATACATTGTCTATAGACTTGGCCGATGTCATACGAGGCATTAAGATTGTTTGATATAAATTGAAAAATTATGTAAATAGTTGTAGTTAATGTTTAGACATCAATTCTTTCATTGTATAATTATTCCGCAAATATTGATTGATTCATTCTATATTCTTCATAATATCGTCCGATTTATGAATGACTATAATAGGATGAGAACAATAAGCCTTCACACAAATATTATGCCTCGAAATTTTTGCCCTCGTATGTAAAGGCCTATATTTGTTAGAACATAGATCAGACGGCTTCTGGCAAAAAAAATGCGACAACTCTACAAACAAAAATCTTACTGGAGGTCAAACGTCGCATCGGCCAATTTAACCTCCACAAATTTTCCTACTGTTGTGGTCGTAATGGATTGATGCGGGATTATTTTCTCTGTGGTCATTGGACGATTGGGAGAAATTTGTTATGGTCAAATGGACACATTGGTGCAGAATCCGTCTTCACTGTTATCATGTCTACAAGATAAATTGTTCGCGGCCAAATGATGGGGACATGATTGTGTCCGCGGCTAAATGAAGGGGACTAATGTGTTCTTGGCCAAATGTTGGGGACTAATGTGTTCTCGGCCAAATGATGGGTACTAATATGCTTGCGGCCAAATGATGGGGACTAATGTCTCCAATAAGTATTGCAAAGCGTTGGAAATTAGGACTACCAAGAAGTCTATGACCCTGCGATCATAACATCCATATAAATATATGAAAACAAATAATATAATAAAACAATTGTACATTTACATATATATACAATTTTTATTTCCGATAATAGTGTAAGATTACTTGTCTTTTTTAAATACAAACCCAGAAGCTAGCGATAACGTGGCAGGAATAAATATAGAAATACATGTAATTGGATAATTCTACATAGATAGGAACATGTCTTAACAAATATGATCCTACTCTCTAAAGGAGACTTGAAGTTTGAAAGTATAAAGGCTCTGAAAAGAACGCATGTACCATTTCTTTTATATAAAACGTGATTGATTTAGCTTAGGCAGAACCTGATCTAAGAATAGCAAGGACCTGAATAAAAGGAATTACAAGCAAGAGTTCTGAAGAAACAGGAATAATTGTAAATGAACAGGATCCTGTTTAAAACTAAAGTAACTGCTTTTGAACAAATAGTAACATAATCAGGTAAGAGTTCTGAGTAAGGAGAATTCAATTGTGAATAAACAAGAACGAATAAATAGAACCCAGCTCTGAATAAACAAGAACTTGTTATGAATAAACAGGAATCTGCTCCGACTAAACATGACCTTGTTATAAACAAATAGGAATCTGTTCTGACTTAACAAGACCTTGTTATGAATAAACAGGAATCTGCTCTGACTAAACATGACCTTGTTATAAACAAATAGGAATCTGTTCTGACTTAACAAGACCTTGTTATGAATAAACAGGAATCTGCTCTGACTAAACATGACCTTGTTATAAACAAATAGGAATCTGTTCTAGCTAAACAAAACCTTGTTATGAATAAACAGGAACCTGCTCTAAGCATGACCTTGCCATAAACAAATAGGAATCTGTTCTGACTAAACAAGACCTTGATATGAATAAACAGGAATCTGCTCTGACTAACCATGACCTTGTTATGAATAAACAGAAATCTGCTCTGACTAACCATGACCTTGTTTTATGAATAAACAGGAATCTGCACTGACTAAACATGACCTTGTTATGAATAAACAGGAATCTGTTATGAATAAACAGGAATCTGCTCTGACTAAACATGACCTTGTTATGAATAAATATGAACCTGTTCTGAATTAAAACTAAGCTGGCACATGAACTAGGTTGGGGTAAGAGACCCTCAAGTCTAAAACGTTGGAAACCAATGTCGTCTGTAAAGTTCAAGGGACATAACTGCACTTTAATTTAACAAAAGCATAAAGGATAGGTTACGTTGAATCAAGGAAGAAGACTTGGCATAAATTCCAACATAAATTTACATTCAGGTGCACAGTCACTGATATTTAAAATATACATCAAATCAAAAGCAAAATTTTATACAGGCCACATAGTAAAAATCAAAACCAGATGATGCCTTCCAACTAAGTGAAACATTTAGCTATATTTTCCAAAATCTAAGTGTTTGGAGCTGATTTTGCTCGTATAAAATTCCTGTATTATTTAATTAATGTCACGGTCAATTCTGGTAACATCTCAGACTTTATGAATGAAATGAATGGAGTTTTACGTCCTAGTCAAGATTTTTTGAATTACCAAGTTTAAAGTATAAAGGAGGAGGGGTTAAAAAATTTGGATTACACAATCCTGTCCAGCGAGTTGGATTTCATTTCCAGTTCAAATTTTGGTTTCTAAATCATTTGAAACATATGAAAACAACAAGAGCTCTTGGGAATAGAAATATTCAAATCGAAAATCAGCTTGCCTGGAATAAGCCCTGGTCGAAATAACTATGACTGTAAATTTGATAAAACCAGAAAGAAATGTAATGGATTGATTTTGGAATGCTTTACTACAAGGGCTGGGTGATATACTAGTTTCACATAAGGAATTCATGTGGTTATGTCTGCTTTAAAAATACCAAAACATCACCATATTAACATTAATGGCAAATATCGCGATATAAAATTTTTGTTCAGATATATACCTACATCGTGATATCAATGTGAACCAATATCGCCCAGCCCTATATCAAATTGTATGAGAAAATCAATATTTGGAACCACAAAAAAAGGAAAACAAAATTGTTCTTCATATTTTTTTTTTAATAAAATGGACATAACACAATATAAGAGAGATAACTCAAATATCACAAGATATTGTCATTGTACACTTAAACTTGATAAAATCATCCCAAATCAATGAAATTTTCTAAATTTTTGCTCATTTTTTTCCACAGACAGTCTGCAAAATATACTGTACACATCAAATTTTGAAAATTTAAATTTACAACATGAAGGAATGATATCTACACCAGGTGGCTAAAGACTAATAATATTTCACCATTTCAATGCCTGCACTTCAATCGACAATTTCGAAGAACATTTTTGGTTTCAAATGCAGCAAAATAGATACAAACTTAAATAAAGAGCTTTAATAATATATATTAATAAGAAATCTTAACAAAAAAAAACTAAAAGTTATATTAATAATTTGTACATTGAATGAAAAGGGAGAATTAAAGGGTGGGGGCATGAATAAATAATTATTTTCTTCTTCCACATAAAAAGATATCTCCTCTTCATAATATTTGTTAAGAATTTAATGACGACGTCATAATAATAAACATGAAATCAAGTACACACTTCCATCCCACAGAGTTACACCTAATATTGGTCTTGTATGAAACAGCTTTCATTAATATCAACAAAACTGTCTATCTCTTACAGTCTATATGATCTTTACATTTCATAATATTTATATCCCAACTTTGACAATGAAAAAGTCAATTGTAATTCAGTCACTAAAATAAAATTGACTTTCTCACCCACGAAAAAGAAAAAAAAAAAAATAATAATATTAAAGTAAAATAATTCTGTAGCTGTTTATAACATCATGGATTCTAGCCAGTGTGTCCACATTCAAATTAGATTGTCCCATGACATTGTAAAGAGTTGGCTGTTTTTTTTTTCTGTTAGTTTAGATAAAGTCCGCTCACTAGATTAGGCTATTTTTAGCAACATCCACCGCCACTTTGTTTGACCGGAGTACTGGAATTAATTTTCACTGATGGTTTATGTTCAGATGCGGCAGTCACTGGGCCCATTCTATTCTTGATCTCTGCAGCCATTGTCATAAATGCCTGCTCAACATTTGTGGCATTCTTGGCACTAGTTTCCAGGAAAGGAATTCCTAACTGGTCAGCATATTCCTGGAATGAAATGACAATTTAAATAGTGAAAAGAATATAGATATTGCCCTAAACTTTAAGTTACAAATTAAAATTGAACAAAACAGTAAGTTAGATATTTTTTATGTTGATAATCACACCACTACTAATTTGCCCAATCTCCATTGGATAAAATTTTACACGACTTTCATGACTAAAGCCATATCTTATCTTGTACAAAGACAAAAATGCACAAAACAGTAGGTAACTTAACTGTCCTCCCATTAAACTACTTAAACAAATGTGAAGACCTACCTTAGCTGTGGTGTAATCCACAACCTTTTTAGCTGTTAAATCACATTTATTACCAACTAGTAACTTATTAACATTCTCACTAGCATATCTATCTATTTCTTGTAGCCATTGTTTTACATTATTGAAAGACTCCTACAATTAGAAAAGAAATAATTTTACGGTCTAAGGAAATAATGGGGATATGACTTTCAAGGACTTTCAGAGCTATCAGAGATTGGAACTTATGAAACCATTTGTTTAAGATAATAAGTTTCAAATGCTATGGAACCCCTATAAGATTTTTAGATGAATAAAGACCTTACCTGATCTGTAACATCATATACGACAATAATACCATGAGCTCCTCTATAATAACTAGATGTTATAGTACGAAATCTTTCTTGTCCAGCTGTATCCCACTGAAAACATTAACATGTTTATTAAAATACATTGCAAACTAAGCTTATTAAGGTATTCAATATTTCAAACAGATTGTCTGTCATCAAAAATTGCAGTGATTTTGATGGTCATATACAGACTGACTGACTAAAAAAATTGTTTAAAGGAATTTTGATGGGACCAACACGACATTGTTTAAAAAATTCAGTAAGCCATCACTATAAATTACAGTATAATATTGCGATATATGTTAAATATCCTGAAATCCCTTGGAAACCATTGCTACAATCTAGGAGAATAGCATACAACTTCAATGTACTTACAATTTGTAATTTGATTGTTTTACCATCTAATTCTATGGTACGAATTTTCTGAAAAATAAGTAAGGGAATTATCAGGCAATGGGTCCTGAAACGAAGGTAAGTTATTCTTTAACTACCATATTGATTGCTGGTTATTGTAAAAGAATCAAGCTTATGTGAATTTCAATACAATCAAATATTGATTTTTTTTAAAACACAATAAAGAAAGGAGAAATATTGCGCAATCAACCTTGAAAGTTTTGAAATGCAGTTGTCTATGGTGGCTTCAATGCCACCTGGGTTTATCATCAAAGCACCACTTTTTGGGAGTCTACATCACTAATAAAAGCTGATGTAGTACTTATTGAAACTACAGTTTAAAATAGGTATTCTGTGATGTTAACTTACAAAATCTACTCCAATAGTACTGATATAACTTTCTGTGTATGTGTCATCCTGAAAGACATAAGATATAAATTTATACTCCTAATTTTTCACAGCCCTGGGATGAAAACGACAAATAATTGCTCTAAATTAAAAAGTTCTTACTGCGCTTTATAAATGCTGTCCGCTGATGAAATTTACAACCTATCACCACCATGACCAGGATAAGATGGTTATTTTACTCTAACACAGCTTCACAAGATAAAATCAACAGTACTTACAGCAAATCTTAAAAGTAAACAGGATTTTCCTACACCAGAATCACCAATAAGCAGGAGTTTAAACAAATAATCACTGGAAATAGAAATAAAAAATTCTTTGATATTAATTCACCCAACAACTATGATTCATCATCATGACATGTGGTTCATTACAGGGTCTAGAGTCTAACAACCGGAGTCTTGAACATTTGTCAAATTAACCTTTTGACCCAACCTGCCTTAACCAATCAAATTTACGCCTTCTCCAGTGCTGGCGTTTTGTTAAGACTACCAAAAGGAGTATGTTCAGGAGCAAAAGACTAATTCATCAAGTCCCCTGAAAGTGAAAATAGAAAACATGCCTTTTCATTGGATGTTCCGAATTGACCCAGTTGAATCTGATTGGTTAAGTTAACATCAAGTTAGGTTAAGAGGTAAATTTGACAAATGTTCAAGACATTAGACTCTACTGTGGCTATACTATAAAAATTAATATAACAGAAAAACGTTGGGTCTAATTTCAATAAGACTGGGTCCATTATTATATTTGATCCCTTGTAGAATTACAGTCAACATCAACACTAGTAGTAGGAAGTAAGCTCATTTCACAGCTCAAATATTTCCAATCAATAAATCAGAAACTATAATTTCCTGCTAATTGAGACAAAACTTTCTGTAGAACAAGGATGTTAACTTAATCAATGTAAAACGAACACTGTCACAGCTTGGTTTTACTGTAGTCCATAAATTGTATGATCTGTGATTTCAAAGGTCAAGGCTATAAAACAGTGTTTATAATAACTAGTAAAAAATTAAAAACAATATTTATCTTGTGACATGCAAACATTACATTTATTTTTGTAATTACTTTTAAAAGCATGTATTTCACTCTCTATACCTGTAGAATATCTTTCTTTGAAGAGCTTGAAAAAAAACGTCATGCATTAAATATGAAATATATTATGCAACATTTTATTTGCTAATCAATAAGATCTTAAGGTCTTTAATGTTGTATTGACACGGCAATGGGGAGGTCAATGATTAGACAATTTTCAACATTTAAAAACTAGAAGGATTGTAAAGAGATTTTCAAAACTTTTAATGTATAAGCTTATCTGAAACATTGATATTAGCATCAATTTTCAGTCAGACGCAGGTGCAATTCCAAAGGAACTCGGCATTTTACTGCATACACTTTAAAGATATTATTACCAACTTTTGCAATAGTGACATGGTTAACCACTTCAACATATTTGCAGGAACCACAGACTATTGTCAGAAAATTATAATGATACAAAAAGAATCTGTGAATGACCTTTTAATACATAAAAACCTCTTAAAAGCCCCTTCAAACATTAATTTTTAGGATAGGTGTGAATGATACCTTAAAATGGAGTGACTGTAATGCAACCTGTCATGAAGGTTTGGTATTTTGTTAACTTCCGAGCACCACCTACCCACTTCCATCTTACTAATAATGACTACACTCACATTCCTGATAAATAGTTACTTTCATTGAATTCATCAATCATATCCTGTAACTCGTTCTTAAAACTTGGTAAAGAACACATGATTTCTTGTTAATGTCTAAACTTCACAGGATTTCAATGCCTTTTAAGTGCCATACACAAACTGACTTAAGATAAAATAATTTTAAATAATCCTTCATAAATAGACCTATGTTTATTCTTACATAAAATTATTCTTAATTGCCACATAATCTAATATGACATTGCTTAGTGTTTTGCCTGGATGAGCAATAACCTAAAAATAGAACCAGACAACAACATTGGAAAAGTAAGGCAATCTAAAAATAGAATGTTCAAAGGTGATATCTAATTCAAGTTTTTCATTAAAATCATCACATCTGTCATTTACATGATAGATCTGGGCAAATATTAATCATAAAATGATGGTGAAAATATTATGCATATAGCACAAATAGGTCCTGGTGGATGCAAATGCTTGGGTACACCAAGCTGTTCAAAGCCAATAATTTGAAATGTTTATTTTTAACAAGTTCACCTGGATGGTTTATGAAAGCATGAAGACCTAACTGGTCCTTTATTTTCCTTGATTTGTAGGCTTATCTTTTAATTTCACTTCAATTTCTGTGTCAATTACAGGACATTAAAAAAAAAAACATTCAAAAGAGAAAATTACGAACACTGCACAATGATCCAGAACACCTTAACAAAGAAATATTTCCTCCATTTATGCTTGAATGCAATCTTACGTACGTCAAAGATAGAAGGCAAACTAACTGCCTCAAAATGTAAAAGAATTAAAAAGAAACTTACTATCCAGAAAAACAACTGTCATCTATTTCTCCTATAAATCTTTCTGTGTTTCTCTTTTTATAAAATTTTCCATTCATTGTTAGAAATAAGTCTAATTAGTATCACAAACTGATTACTTTCAAGTCTGATAGTTTGTGGATTCAGATTTCTTAAATAATGATCGCAAAAATCATCTATTAAATAGGTCTACAAACTTACCAACAAGAAAATTATGACATGGCCTAATCAAGGTTGGCCAGATGACACATGATCTAAAGATAGGCATTATATATAAACCAAGTGACCAAATATACCAGAATATCAGTGAATGAACGGTGGAACAAATATGGGACCGTGATTCTAATCTTGGTAGTTTGTGAAAGTCCTCTCATCATTCCAATCAATCCAGCTGTATGCTTGTGTGTGTGCTAAGGTTTCATCAAGGACAAAATTGTTGACAGGATTCTCCAAAACTAATTTATCTTTGTAAAAAATATGTTTGAGATTTCTTTTGTATGTCATTTCTGGAGAAAGACTGTTGCTATAAAAATCAATTGCAATATAACAATTCATTTGGATTAATTCAAATTTCTGTTTATATTGTAATGCAAGCTCAGTATAAAGAAAGAAGCTCAAAATTGGGATATGGCTTTTGACTTTCTTCAGTCAAAGTGACAACAGGTGTTCCTGAGGGTTGATCATGTTAATTTGTAAACTCAATCTTTGCAATCACCCAACATTGAAGGCCTAAAAATTAAAGTGGAACTTATAATGATACAACTATGGCCCTAATTTTGACCACTGTTATCAATCAACAAACAAGACATGAATATTTGTCAGTGATAGCTGACATTGACAATCTTTCAGTCTAATAACTGTGTATAATACATATAATAAGCACCATTGACATGACAAGCAGGCACATTTTCAAGATAGGGCTTGAATTGGGTCTTTGTCAAGTCTCACTGCCTAAAAAATGATTGGACAATGATGGTGTTCTTCTTCCCTTTTATTTTACTAACACTAAACAAGTTTAAGAAAATCAACTCTGTGAAAATATATTCTCTCTTTACTTGCAACACTATTGTCTAGCTGATAGATCAGATAGATCATACAGATCATTAGGACCACTTCGCAGTGCTAGATAAGACAAAAATAAAAATCCCTTAATCATTTTTTTTTAGGTCTAGATAGGCCTAGGTGACAAAAACAAACACACGTATACTACTTGGTTTAGACCTACATAATGGAACTTTTAGATTTAAATTTCTTACCGTGTGAATATCTAGTATTAGGATCATAGGAGAAAATCAAAGCAAAGTTGAATTGCGACGTTGAAATGGGGCGTGTGACTTACATCACAAGAAAAGTCTCGTCCAAAACAAAAATTATGGGCTGAGATCTTCAACTTCGACCGATATTTAGAGTTTTTATGAGTTAATACGGACGATTACAGCATACTTACTATTCTGGATTCATTTTAGACAATTAATATGAACACAATCTTCAATTAAAATGGGACAATTTGGTTCAGTCTGTAAATACCAGCCTTTTTTCAATATCTACGTAAGCAGACAAATACGCCTGCAAATAAAGATGGCTTCCTTCTTCCGATTTACAATTGGTCGTAGAGGGGGATAGGACAATTGCTAAGGATGACGTCATGTCCCAACGTGGCATCGTGAGATTTCCGTTTTCCGTTCATAGTAGACTTCATTTTCCAGACTCAAAGTCATATTTGTAATTATGTCATTCGATAAAAAGACTAGTTGATTAGATCTAAAAAAAAAAGAGCAGACGATATCTAAATTTGAAATTCGTCTGCTATATTTTTGGCACTTTTACCATTAGGCCTACCAGTTCATGAGCATGGTAGTTAGTCCAGTCTACAATTTTCATAAGATTAGTCTACCAAATTTCGCAAAAGATTTACCTAGATTCTAGACAGATCTAGATCTACAAAAATTAGTTACAAATTTTTTTTTTTTAACTTTAGTCTAGGCCTAGTTTTGTTCAAGTCGTTTAAATTTATTAGAGCCTACTAGGCTATGCCATCACAAATATCTAAGCCAGACAAGGGTCTTAGCTGTAATTGTGAATAACAACGTCGATGGTGCTTATAAATATATTAAATGCGCTAGGCCTATTGATTTAGTTATTTCGGTTGATTTAGATTGATTTGTTGTATAGACCTAGAATATCCAGTGTGACAAAGGGCTCACAAATATGCATTTATTATATAATAGGCCTACATGCATATAGGTACCTACCTAGCCTACTTATTGTTCTAATTGTAGTAGGCTCATGAAAATGATATATGTATACTGGGACTGGATGCCCTCCCTTCCCCAAAATCTAGACAAGCTTACCTCAAATCATAAAGGCCTATAAACGGAGATAAATATGTCATTTTTTGACCAGTCATAGCTCTACCTTAGTCTCAGAAATAGGAATATTATAGGTAAGCCAATCAGCAGTAGTGTGTGTCTACAATATTTAGAAGACGACTCTTCTTTTCTTGAGACTGATATATAGAATAAAAAAAAATGGTTAAAGAAAAGACATCTATAGAAATAGGAAAAGAAATTCCTAGTTTGAGATACTTTTCAAGGAATTGTGCTATTTTTGTACATCTCTAGAGCTTCTGAAGATTATTTAGCCTACATCAATTATCGAATCAAAAAAAGTTAGAACTTCATCTTAGAATACATAAATTTGAAGTTAGTTTATTGTATCTCATAGCATTGTTCATCTAAATCAATAGATCAAAACAATCAGTAGGCTAGGAGAATGTATTAAACCTATGTGATAACAAATTATCATGTCTGATGGTCTTGATGTAGAATAATTAATCAATAAAATAGTACAACTGTGTCATGCAATACTAAAGATATGATCCGTCTAGTACCGACATGTAAATATACAGCAAGGTAGTAATGAGACTTCAGGTAGCGTATTGTCTGAGCAAAGTAAAAAGTTTTGAAGCTGCTATTCCAATTCTTCTAAAAAATATCAAAAAAATTCAAAAAATATAAGCTGCTCAGACATCAGAATTTTAGTATTAAAGGGACATTTGCTCCATTGTTTAGCCAATCAGTAATAGTGTTCACAGTTCACTGTCGAAATTTGTGCCTTCAAATCCATGTATATGTTAAAATAACGACCGGTGAGTTTGAAGTATTCTAAAAGGAAATATGCCATTTTCGTACATTCCTTGTACTTTTGAAGACTAATTGCCTACATTCAACACTGAAAACAAGCCCCCCAAAATGCTGCATCTGTCCCTTTAATAGGGAACAATTCAGATTTCTTTTCCTTGAAATTGAGGATTTTAAGAAGGAAAAAAAAGCTTTTCAACATTTTATTAACAGTTTAAAACGTTATGATGTTAAATAAAAGTATAAAAACATTAAAAGGAATATAATTATATTTTTATGTTATTTGATGTGTGCTGAAATAAATCATTGTACAACATTTCTGTTACCACCGTGTAGAGCAAAATTCTGATTAATAGTAAAAGAACAGGTTGTTGGATATGATTTTCAAAAAGTCCTTATGGATCAAGCTCTATTGAATGATAAATCACATTTTAAGTTAATTAAATCACTTAAATAATAACCAGCCAAAATTAATACAGTGTAATTTTTCAAAAATAATTTATGGTGGCACAATGCAAATAGAAATTTATAAAATTTTCTTATTTTAAATCTGATTAAAAGACATGATTTAAAATTGTTTGTGACCAAGTAGAAGCAATAATGTCAATAAGAATCAGTGCTGTCCTGTATAACAAGACTTATTATTCCTTATATTATTTACAATTATAATATGCTTTTAATATATTGTATATTTACATTTTCATATTTACATTTACCAAATATAGTCCAGAAAAGATATTTCTGCTCATCTGGGTCATAACATTTAAAACAAAAAAATATGCAGACCATTATATTTATTGATAGTTTTAGTAACACTAAACAAAATGTAAATTTAGTCTGGAATATAGTTTTTATGACTATTCTAAAAAAAAAAATGGACTGCTCGTGATCAAGTTTTAAATGAAGTTGGATGAGCAGAAATATCTATACATTATAGGTATCTGAAGTTTTCCATATCTTATGTAACTACAAATGCATAGCCGCACAATAGGCAAAGGCCTAGTAACACAAATAAAAAAACTAGTCTTTTATAAGTGTAACACTGCATTTCATAGTTACATTACATTTGGGAAACTCCAAATACATGTGCTTATATCTATCAAACCATCTACTTTGATTGTTCATTCCTTTTTTTTTTGATAATAATTTCATTGTGTACATGTATACTAATCCTAGTTACTTCCCTTCATAAGAGTAACGTAGGTAACTCCGAAAGACTTTATACCTGACAGTATTTTCAGATTTAATGTTTCTTTGGCCTCTTAGAATATACCCTCATTTCATATTATCTATAATGAAATATCATAGGGTTTATGAGGTCCAATTATAAAAATCTTGCCTTTTGATGAAAAAGTCCTCCAATCAATAAGCATAGTCTAAACAGTGCATAGAATAATACTTTCAAACATCAAAATCATGGCATTAGATTAAAATAAAATAGTTAAAATCTTCTTTATACACACTGATATAGCTAAATTTCTGAATTATTTTATCTTCAGCTTTTTCAACTAATTAGGAGCAAATATTTGGATGATTGTCTGCAGTAGAATAAATAAATATTTACAAATTTTATTGGAATGTGAAATAAAATAACATAAGCACTACTAGGAAATTAAGATAAGTGAAATTTCTGAAAATAAGCATGCATGATAGTAACTTAACAAATTCTAAAAATTAACTTTTTAACACTTCTGCAATGATTATTGTTTTACAACTAATAATAAAGAATCCTAGGCCCATATCAACCCACAAGGCTCTAAAATTACCTAAAATATCTGCCAATAAGGCACAATTTTTACTTATCACTTTGTGAATAACAGTCTTTAATTAAACTCTGCATTATGCTAGTACTCAAAAACTAGATATACTAACAGCAATGTCATTTTATACCTTAGTTTGTCAAATTTGAACTCCTTTAAAGAGTGTTCAGTTGGATATTTTTTAAGATGACAAGCAAATGATTTCCATATAATAGTTTATTTTGAAAAGAGCTAAGCATAGCTGAATAGTTCTTTATCAGGTGGTAAACCAAATATTAAGATGAGCATGTAACTTTAAAGTTGCAAACTTTATTCCAAAATACATGCTTTTAGTCCTTGAAATTGAGTTTTACAACTTACTTTTCTGTACGGTACCTGATTAGGCTAATGAATGCCAATAACAGTATGCAGTGTGCAACAAGGGAAATTTGACAGGACAGCAGCCTCAGCCTACCCTTTTTAGTTATACAGCCCATGGAACTATGACATTTATGAAAGCGGTGCATGTATCATGTATGTTTATAAAACTTATATATAAAATAGCATAAATTGTGCGACTCATAATATTATAATATAGGAATCTATGTACAATAAGAGAAGTTTACTACAAGTCATATAAATGTAAAAATCAAACCATAATCAAAATTATATAAAAAATAACAATTTGACATGCCTGCACATCTTTTGCAATTGGTTATATTTTCAATTAGTCATTAATTAGACATCTATCTTTAGTACACAGTATATTTTGAATTACTTAGAAACATGCATGTTTTATTTTATTATCATATTTTGATATCTATTGTAAGCATTATAGTTTTAAATTAGTTAAAGTAACATGCCTGCAAATCTTTTGTAATTAATTCTAATTAGTTATGACATCTATTTTGGGTAAACATTATATTTTGAATTAGTTAGAACATGCATGTTATATTTTGTTATCACATTTTGATATCTTGTAAGCATTATATTTTTAAATTAGTTAAAGTAACATGCCTACAAATCTTTTCTAATTAATTTTAATTAGTTATGACATCTATTTTGATTAAACATTATATTTTGAATTAGTTAGAACATGCACGTTTTATTTTGTTATCACATTTTGGTATCTGTTGTAAGCATTATATTTTTAAATTAGTTAAAGTAACATGCCTGCACTTCTTTTCTAATTAATTTTAATTAGTTATGACATCTATTTTGAGTAAACATTATATTTTGAATTAGTAAGAACATGCATGTTTTATTTTGTTATCATATTTTTATATATGTTGGAAGCTTTATATTTTAAAGTAACATGCCTGCACATCTTTTGTAATTGATAAATTTAAATTAGTTATGACATTTTAGTATTGTTTTAAGTTAAAAGTAACATGCCTGTACATCGTTGTCTATAGCATTTTGATTTATTAGTTATTACAGATTTATTGTAAACATTCTACAATGGAATTAGTTATCACATATATTTGTTGAAAGCATCTTGTCAGTGTAGAATTGACTTAATATGATTTGTAAGATTACAGATCTATTGTAAAACTCCAACTTTGGAATTAGTTATCACATATCTTTTGTAATCAATTAGTTTCAATTAGTTACCGTAAATTAACATGCCTGTACATATTTCTAAGCCATTTTTGTTAAATTAGTCCAAGTAAAATGTTTACACATCTTTCTAAGCTGTTTTATGTTGAATTAGTTAAC